TCAGGACGACAGCAAATATGTTCGTCATGATTTAAGGCATATCTTGACTAGTGTAATGCCATTCAAATCATCTTAGGTAGAAGATAAGCCGAATCAATGAATTCATTCATGTGAAGTTTTAACATTATAAGTCCATCTCATATCCTCCGTACTACTCACCATTGTTCCGTCCACGATCCGCATCTAACCCTTAAATGGTCAACTACCACCTGTAAAAAAGTTAGTGTTGAAAATGGCCTTATTGAATGATGCCTGAGCGTCATTCACGTCACCATTCTTTTTTTGCAGGTATCTATGGGTTTTTGTTTCAGACAATTTTCTTCATCACGTCCTCAAACATGTTCGCTGATAGTGAACGACCGTTTGTGCAATGAAATATTGTTCATCCATTCACAGTCAACTGCAGGAGTGTTCGTTCTCCAGTTCGTGACATGGAGACGCGTCTGGTGTCTTGCAGCTTCACAGATCATACCCAGGAAGCATCCTGCCGCATTATCGGTTTTCGTTACACGATGTTGATACTCCTGATACGGCGAGCGTGATCTGGTTAACCACTAGGCAGATTGTATCCTCGGTAGGACATTTCTAGTCAGGAAAAGCTGTACATGTACTTCACACAAAGTTTCTCTCACAGTGCATCTATTGACCATAAGGCATGTCGTATTTCCTTTTGTTTCTGTAACGTAAGTCATCGTACAATAAGAATCATTTAACTCGTTCCATGTGAATGGTTCTGTTTGTCACAGAAATTAATCGGCATCACACTTCAAATTTTATTGTAAATTGAAAACAATGCCCGAATTTTAAGCTCTGCTATTCATTCACCTTTACATAGTCTATTGCCCTAAACTATTGTACCTTGGTTTCCTACGTTTCAGACATTTACAAAACCGCGAAAAGAATCGATACTGTGATGTTGTATGCTACGAGAACAGTCGTGTTCATTTACGACCTCTATCACTTCAAGTCACCGTCCCGGAGTCCGCAGTTAAGGTTCCCAAATTGACAACAAACTCCAAATCGACCGATCTCTCTACTTCGGCGTCCGCACTTCATCGAACCCAATCAGCACCACTGGCAGCGAAAGACTTGGTGCGGAACTATATACACGCCAACTGGGTCGATGGTTATCGACAAAAGAATGCCTTTATTTGTACCCAAGGTTCGTTTGTGCAAATGTGTATATTCTGTTTATCTGTTGTTCTGTAATCTCTTTACTTGTATAATCTAATCGGGTTTTTCTCCCAGTTTATTTTTTTACCCTCTTTTTCTTATCAACCGCAATAAACGTCCAATGTGGTAGTTTTACTATTCAACTGAATCTAGAACAGCAGTATTTCTCGGCATGGAGAGTATGAGTTGAGTTGGAGGTTAGTACCAGCAATCCCTTAGCGTTTATACTCCCGCATGTTGCCCATATTCACGTACACCTCATTCACACCCCAAGATTGCCTAGTATTTGTATACCATTGATCGTTCAAATTGTCTTTTGGGCAGATTTGAAGTTTTTATGTCGATTGTGGAAAGTTCAGTAGCTATACGTGGGTTCGAATCTCACCGAGGCTACTGAACTTTTCACAATCGACGTAAAATACCACTAATCGTTCTTGGGGGCGATATGTTCACTCAGTTACCTATGTTGCTAATCATCCCAAGCAGGGGCATCAGCATCATCGAGAACTTGTTCGTCTGCTTTTCTCAGATATAATCTATATGACAGCTGATCATCGCTTCCGGCCCGGATGAGTATTAGTAGATCCTGGTGGAGATGGTTCTGATCTTTTTGACGAGATTCAGTTGACCGATTGCACCGTGAACACGGAAGGAAGCACACTTAATCGAGGGCTCTGTGAACGAGAATGTTGTTTTTAATAGGAAATATTAACTGTTTTTATTTATGGCTATTTTTTCTTTCCCGACTGAATCTCCCCGTCTCTGTGTGGGTGTGATGGAATTTGCCCATACTAGTTATCGATACGTGCATTCTCAACGCACGACAATGAACCAGGTTAGGCAATGGGCATGCGGTTCTCATTGGGTAGGACTATGCTTTATTATTGGCTAGTGCCACACGATGTATTATTGTTACCTGGAAGTCCGCGGAACTTTGCCACCTGAAGAAATGTAGCCAACTTCCCCCCTGGTCCCCCTGGGGGCGAGCTCAATGTCAAAATAACCGAATCTCTGAATTGGAGCGTAAGGGAAAACCAACTGTTTGTTCTAGGAAAGAGAATACGCACTCCTTTTTCCGAGACGCAGTATTCCATTGCAAAATCAGACTGCCCGCTTGTGCGACACGGTGATTCTTACACACACACACACACACACNCAAGCAAGCAAGCATCCACTTCTTTTCGAACCAATATTTCATTCCACTACATAGTTTATGAGTGAGTCGCGTTGTGTTTAATGCACTCCACGCCCCTGCCTCGTGTAAGTATGTGACAGTTATGTGCGTATCACCTGTCCCTAGTTTAAATGTGATTCTGCTAGATCAGTCAAATAGGGGTATGCGGTATGCTGTCGAGACGGATGTGATGGCGTTACTGCGTTCCAGCTGCATGTTCGTGTGTGTTGTTACNCGCGTACCTCACTCTGTGACCAAAGGATTTTCCCTCTCTCAGCTATCACATTGACCTCCCTCACTGGTATAGTAGATTCTCGTGTCCCATATTAGTACCATGTATTTCGGTTGAGGTTTATCAATACGGGTTGCTTGGACTAGCGCCAAATCGTACTCTGTCCGTTCGGTGCGTAATCCTGACACACACACTGTTTAATCTGTTCGTTCACCTCCACCTGTTCATCTTGACTTGCTTGCCAACTGGAGGCTGCTAGTTTGATGTGTCCTTTTCATGTGATACAACAATTACACATGATTTTACTTCCAAAACCATGCACTCATACATATTGTCAGGAGGTGTTTTGCGAACGCGCACACTCTGAGTAGGTTCACACGTGCACACACTGGCGTGTCTTCGGGGGTTTTTGGAGTACTAAACGTTTTTGGGTAAACTAGTGTCGATAGGACCGGAAATACCTTGGCCGATCTGTCTTGTACAGAATGACAGACACCTACAGCTTTGACGCTATTGCGATTCCTGATATTTATCTTGACTAGTTTCTGGGGTTTTCTGAAAGAAAAAGTCAACAGAGAAAGCCCACCAGGTCATCCGACTAATCATCTAATCGTTGTGTAAGTTTAATGAAACCTTATTCATCTACCTACAACTCTGCTTGTACACAGTGC